TGTTGATGGTCAGTGGGTCTGCAGGCTTTGCAAGTGTGTTTCTGGTTTTGGGCAGCACCTGTTCCATGCAGTTTTGCTATGTTCTGAGCATAACTTGTTGATTTACTAACCTACAAGAACTTTGTTTGTATGAACAAGACAGGTAACTAAGACAATGCTCTCTAAGACAAGCCTCTTTTAGCAAATAGTGGGGAGATTCATTAGCAAACATGCTGGCTTCTGGAAAGGTATTTTCTAACAGGTTGAACACATTGGGTTTGACTAGAATAGCTGGGTTTGGGATCCATCTTCAAGACAGTAAAGCTGACTGCAGCTGTACCAATCTCTTTCACCCACTGCTGATTGAAATAGGGGATCAAGCTGATGTAATTTAGCTGATCTTAAAGTATTCAATAGCCAAAGATTGCTGAAGCAATCATTCCTTCTCTACTCCTGATTACAGAAAATCCCTACAGGGTTTGTCCCTTTTTTGCTTCCTCTTGTCAAATTGTAGAGCAGGCAGCAGTTAACTCTATTAATAGGTCTTTTGTACATGATTAATTGGGGATTTAAGTAGGTCAGTTTCTTCCAAAATTTCTTGATTACTAAGTTTCACTTGCAACTGTCCACCTGTGATGCTTTGTTTTTGTGGTATCATCTGGAACTCTTCTCTCATTTGATGCCCTCTTGTGATTTGTTGTGCAAGGTTTTCAGTAGAAGCCTGTTTTATTCCTCAGTTTTACTTGCTGCTTGCCTGTGCAGCCATATAATCAAATTGCTTTTCTGTAATACCTGTGCAAGTAGCTGTGGAGCTACAGATCCTTTACTGCCCTCCTGCTTCTCCAGTGATACAGTTACTCTAGGGGATTCTTGAGCCAGTTCTGTAGATGGACCAGTCCTGCTGCTGGTTTGGATAGTTTTGTTTGCTTTATTTTTAATACTATCCTAAGGTGAAATATTTTTTCATGGTTTGTCAAACAATATTATGGATTTGACTGTAGAACTGTGACTCATCTCAGCCTTCGTTTTTCTTACCGAGAATTATCGTGGAGGAAAGTGCAAATGAAAATGTCAGATCTGTTATAAATAATGTAAAAGTGACAGCCAGGAGGAGAGGTCTCCCAGACCTGCTTTCTGTCCATAGACACAGAAAAGAAATCCATTTTGGAGGGCTAGGTCTGCAGCTTCTGCAAAGTTTTATCATCCTTTTGACTTCATTGCTTTTAAGGGTTTACATCGTCCACGTGTCTAGTAGAAATATGTAATTTTTGGCTGTTATTTTTGATAAATATATATTGTCATTCTTCACTGATCAGCCAGGAATTCAGCATTTGAGTTTATAGCTCCTATTCTTAGTTGATTCTATTAATTTATTTCATCTCACTGATGTTTTATTTGGACAAGCAATGCCATATTCAGAGTGCAATTAACCTAGTAATTGTTTGCTTTGTGTTTTGTGAGGAAGCCACTTTTAAAGATTTAATGTCTCGAAAAAGAAAAATTATGGTGGACTATCAGTAAAAAATAAAATATTTGACAGTTCTTCAGCATGCAATGCATAATACTGTTGATAAACAATCTGGTCTGTTGCAGTTGATAGTATGGGGGCACAGAATTTTGTTGCCAGTTACAAACATCTGATTTCAAGGGCATGCTCAAATACTAGCCTAGTGTATATTATACATGTAGTGATCAGAACTGCCAGAAACCTTGAATTTCATGTCAGTGCATGTTATAGAATGTTGTGGGAAGCTAATGAAAGCAAACTTCTATAATCTTTTCTCTTTTAAGGAGGAGAGTCTTACTGGGGAAAACCTTTCAAGGATGAATTTAAGCCAAATTTGTCCCACACAGGACGTGGTGTTCTTAGTATGGCCAATTCTGGACCCAACACAAACAAATCACAATTGTAAGTAGTCACTTGCTTTTTCTGTTTTATCATTTCCCTCTAGACATTGTGTCTTGGTCTGTTAAGAAAACAAATGACATTTTACAAGCTCCTCTTTAAAGTTCAGTCAAGTGAGATATTTTGTGGAGTGCTGCATATTGAAATCAGGGTGGCTACAGCTGCTGTTGCCCAATCACAGAACAAAACGAAACACAGCAAGAAAACCTGTGGGTTTAATATATTATCATTATTTTGTCTCTTCTGTTTTTAAGATTTGAAGATTTTGTTAATTTTTGTCAGTGTCTCCCCCATGTTATCCCTGTAAGATCAATACACCTTTCCACTCTGTTTAAATTTAGTCCTATATTGAACTTTTTGAAAGGGCTTAATAAAGGGAAACATATTCTTTATGGAACAAATTAAATTTAAAGGCATGGAAGTTGTAATAACCTCCTTTGTGTTTAACATTCATAGAGGTGTTTGCCTACAGCCTTCTGAAAATACTGTGTGTCACTTTGAGCCAACTATTTATTAGTTCCTCTCTTAAGTACTGCAATAGAAAAAAGTTGTACTTTTATTGGGAGCCCCAGGCAAGAGAGTGAGAGTGTCTGTGTATGTACTGTGCTGTGTGTTGGGACTGGAAAGGGAGTGGGCTTCTGGTTTTGGTCTTCATGATGCTAAGTATTATTATAGCTTGTAAACTATGCACTAGTGTGGTTAGCTTTAACTAAACACAAGTGCTTGTCTCAGGGCCTTCAATAGGTTTACATACTTCAGGCTAAGCTTAGTTTGAATTAGAATGTTACTGCTAGCAATCAGGTGCTGAATGAGGATAGAGTAGAGGCTTTTTTATTTTTTTAAAAAAAGGAAAGGTATTCTAGAAACAGAAGTTAGAAGAAGTTGAGTCACATCATCTGCTGCTGTAAATGTGATCGTATGTGTCCCAAAATTTGCAAATGAAAGATGAAGTTCCTTTATAAGTGAAGTCCTTGAGAGACTCCAGCTGCTTGTATTTATAAGGCTTCGCTGGCAGTGTTCAGACACTTCTGGCAACTGTGGTGACCTTGGGAACTGGGTGAATAGCTCACCCCTCAGGCAATAGACACTGCAGTGCTGGGAGAGCTGGGTCCCCTCTGTGAGTGATGCTCAAATGATTCTCAGAACTTCTTCAGGATCATCCTAAGCTATGTTTATTCCATTGTCCTTAATTTTATTTTGGCTGTCATGATGGATGAGAAGCTCTTTCTGTATATTTGCTACTGCTCAGTATTTTTAATTCTTATAATGCTACATAACTGACCACTTGATAATCTTAAGTGTTGGATAGCTGCAAATAAAGTGGTGCAAAGGCCCTATGTACAAGGCTAAGTTGAAGTGTTTGCCCTGTGTAGGGGTTTGCATTCTGCACAGCATCTCAGAGCTTTCTTAGGGCAAGCCATGGCTTAATAGATGGCCTGGCAGATTGTAGTCTCTTCTGTTTGCAATCATATAACTTCTGAGGCAGTTGCTTATATGGAAAAGTCCTTTTGGAATGCATATATATTTTTAGCTGTCTCTAGTGTAGTGTAACAGATGGAGACAGGGAAGAGAGCCAGCATGGCATATCCAGCCAAGATGGACCATTGTGCAGAATACCCAGTGCAGAAACCTCTGTCTCTTGGGTTCTAGTCTGTCTTCCAAAGCAGCACTAAGCTTTGGAGAAAAGTTCTAGTAGCAGTGATTGCTTTGGATTTGGTATTTTGGTTCTTAGCATTTAAGTTTAAAAATACAACTCCCAAAATGTAAAGTCCAATTAATTAGAAATGAAAAATCCACGTTTCACAGGTTTTCATTACATTTGACACTTTGAAGTATTCTTCTGCCATTCTTGTATATTCAAAGCACGAATTTGCTCTGTCCAGAGGAGAAATGAATCACTGAGAGGCCAATTTAATGGAAAAGAAATGCAAAAAGTAAATATCCAAAAAGACACAAGTTTACACTGGCAGAGGGCTTTTGTGTTATATGAACTGTATTTTCAGGATACAAGGTCCCATTCATGCACAAGAAATGTGCTTCTCAAGCAGGATCCACATCTCCCTGTCCTGCATGAGCTTCCCAGGGCCTTCTGGTGGGAGAAGAAGCTCAGATTAATTTTGGACTTTGTGCAAGTCACCATACTTGGAATAATGTTTAGGGATGTTAGTAGCATATAAAAACAAGAAGTCAAAGCTCCAGAAATTGAAGATAAAACACACAAAACAGGGGAGTTAAGGATATGTGGCCAGCAGGAGAGGGAGAGGGGCTTGACTTCTCCCAGCAGGCTGTTTTTAAGCACTGCTGGCTGCTATGACAATGAGATGATAATACTAACTTTGTGTTAATTCCTTTCAGCTTCATCACATTCCGCTCCTGTGCGTATCTGGACAAGAAGCACACAGTTTTTGGAAGGTAAGTGAAGGATGTTGTGAGCAATAGTATAGCAGACGTGCTCTCCTGTGTCTCTGAAGCTTAGAGAGAAGAGTCTAGTGAGTTCTGCTGGTCAGGAGTAGGTGGCCAACGTAGCATCAGTGCCAGTCATCAGACTCTGTCTTTTTCCGCATTCCATCACTGTAAAATTGTTTTACTTCCCTTCTGTGCCTGGCCCTTCACGGGTTCATGGGCAAAGTAATCATCATCCTGTAACCAGCCATGGTAATATTTGTGGATGCTAATTGCTGGGACACAAATGATGACTTTTTCAACACTGCTTTCATCCTCTTACAAGCTGTCAACCAGGAAATTAGTCATGACAAGACTGCTTTTCATCATGGCACAGAACATAGAGCTTCTGCAGAGATTAGGTCTTTTGGGCCCTTTTATTCTTTTTTTATTCTATCTTCTTTTATTCCTGACCATTATAACTGGTATAAAGTCTATATGTTTGTGTGCACATATGTGTACGTGCAAAGATATTACCACTGCAAGACAGCAAGGGAACTTCATTCATTATAAAAAGAACTCTTTTCCAGTCAAGCCCTCACACAATAAACATTAAAGTATTCATTACAGAAGATATTACAAAAATCTTTATATTATGGTTTGTTGTTTCCTTCCTCTGCTGCAGATAGATGGTATTTACTGCATCAGTCATAGCTATTGTAACAAATCCCTTGGTGCAGGTAGCAGGAAGGGGAATTTTACTGGCCTGCTTCAGTGGTACTTCCTGAGGATTTTATAAAATGTTTAAAATAAAGATTTTGTTTTTATTCTTTTCATAGTTTTATCCATTTGAAAGGCAGCAATTGAAAGTAAATGTGTGTGCTGTTTACTTTGATTAGATGTCATACAAGAGTGCTGGACAATGAAAGGGATATATTTAATCCATGCTCTTTGCCTGTGAGTTCTTGAGACAGAAGCTGGCTTAATTTTAAACAATTATTTTAGTGCTGTTAGTTCTGATACTGACTCTGCAGTAATTGCACCCTTTGAAATACATTTATTCTTACTTTATCAGGTCTGTCCTAGAAAATTTAAAGTTCCCTTGTCATTTGATGAAAGCAAATAGGTAAAGCAAATTCTAATACTGAAAGTTGAGAGTGAGAATATTCTTGGTGGAGTTACATTACCTGTATCTTAAGACTATTTAACTTGAACTACAATCTCAGTCCTACTTGTAAAATCCCATTAAATGCCATATGGAAATGCTGTTAACCTGAGCTTAACCACCTCATCAAGTAGTGTTTGAGTTAAGACAGTTCAGCTGAAGATGTGGTGGTTCTTTGGTCCTGGGTGCAAGCTGGCTTCAATGAGCATCCTGTGTAGTCCTCCAGTGTTTTTGCTGTGTTTGTCCAGTATGCTCCAGTTTAACTATAATTCACCAGGAGTGAGTTTGGAGAGTTGCTGAGCCCAGTGCTGTGCAGGGAGCATGCTCCAAGAAGCCTTCATACCATGCATAACATCTCAAGTACCTTATGAGTAAAGCAGCTCGAATGATGTTTCACACTGTACGTTGCCCTTTAGAGCAGAATGACTTCAGTCCAAGTATATCTGGTTAAGTGTACATAGCAGAAATTTATGCATTTTTAGCAAAGACTGTCTTTATTTTTATTTTTTTTAATTGGTTGCCAGATTAAAGAAGTAGTGCTACTTTTTGAACATTGCAAGTACTCTTTGCTGAAATACAAAGAAATAACTTGATTAAAAACATTGTTTTAGAATCATGTTTGACTCTGCACAAAAACTGAATAACATCTTCATCAGAACACAGAGCAGATGAATTTTACTCTGGATTCTTGCATGTAAATGAACATGAATTCAAAGAATGTAAAAAATGAAGAAGCTGAGATAGATGCATTCTACTCACTATATTAATCTACAAATGGAGTACTTGAGTAAAGAAATTTACCTGCAAATTAACTTAAAAGGCTGATGTGTGTGACTCTTAAGATCTGTATTCTGTCACTAAAATCCTTCAGCTGTTTTTACCTGCATTTGTTTTTAAAAGCCATTAAAGCCAAGAGATTCCAGAGATTGTACCTCTAGTGTAACTCCAGATTTAGTTTGCTATTTTTGATCCTGGGTGTTTCTAGGATTTGGTGACTGTATCTGATCTTAGACTGTGTAGTACAATGATCTCTGGGAAGCGTATCTAGGAATAATATCTAGATTTAAGAATATATTGAACCTGTGAAATCAGAATTCTTTGTTCATTCAATATGAATGTTGAATTGGTTTGTCTTAATTGGATGCTTACTGGCCCTTTGTAACTTTTACATAGATTTGAGGATTGCTTATTTCAGTTAATATAAAAACCTAAATACTCTTACCTCAACTGTGCCCCCAGCTTTTTCTGTTCACCTCTGGTTCATGTTAGTGAGTGTCACATATGCATATTTGAGAAAAGAATTTGACCTGTTTGTAACTTGTATAGAACTTTTCAGCAGCTTTCCGTACTTTTCAGAAGAACAGGAAAACAGCAAAAGAGAAACTGTTCCCCTTTTGTGGTTATTTGGGTCCTGTGTGATACAACATTGAAAAGTTCCTTCTCTGGAGAGCTGCGATTTATTCATGTCCCAACTGCTTTGAAACACAATTTTTGCATAGTAGCAGCCTTTAAGTGCTGGATGTTTGGCTGTTAAGTGTGTTTGGAAAACACACCAGCTGCAGGCAGTGGGAGTGTGGAGAGGTAGCACATGTCTGGCTCAATGCACTGGAATTTTCAAGCCTGAGGATAGGGCTGTGGCTGGGGGACGGGGAGGTACCTTGTCATGATTGTGCTGCCCACCAGAGCAATAATGAGGACAGATGTTACTGAAAATAAAGGAGGTAATTTGGCATGGTCAGGAATCAAAAGCAAAGGTGGAGAGTGAGAGAAGAATGCCTTCCTTTGGAGGTGTGTTGCAGGCTGCAGGGATTTCCTCCTGCTTCAGCAGAGCTGCCTAGATTACTAGAAATGGTAATTACTAATTACCATTTCTTCTGACTCAAAGTATGCTGTAATTAATGTGAAAACTAACTGGTGGCTTTTGTTGGCTTCCAGCTAGCTGGTAAGAGGTTTAATATAGAAACTCAAATAACGTAAACCAACCGATGTGCATTTGGTCTGCACAGAGTAGATGAGAAGCATTTGTAGGTGTCTGCTGCATGGGGAAGGTGCTGTTTGGTGCTGTTGTGGGCTATGGATGGGAAGTTTCCTCTTATCCATGCCACAACTGGGAGCTAAACTGTTGCCTGAGCTACATCAGCTACAGGGATGTTGGACCTGGAACACAGTGCAGACATCGGTTGCTGTCTGGAATGCTTTATGCAGTCAAGGTGCAAGCACCAACCATCCATGTTGTTCTTATATTCTTTATTACCCCAGTGGCTCTCAGTTCCTGTGGTTCAGAGACCTGGTACCTTTGCCCTTTATAAGTAGAAATAGAAACATAATCTCTGTCCCAGAGAGCTGTGTAAGTAGAAGCAGGGCTGCATATAACAGGGAATTCACAAGAGTGACTCCTTTCAGCCTACCTTCCACCAACAGTTTGGACTTTGTTCAGAACCAAGGAAAAAGAAAACCCCAGGAAAAACTAAAGTGGCTTTGTGGATGTTTTGGGGGAGCCTGCTCCAAAGCTAGTGGGACATATGAAAAAGTGCATGTTTAAAATAATATTGAAAAGTGATAGAGCCATGCTGATCAGGATGAGGAGAGGAATGTTCTCTTGGAATTTTGAGTGAGATTTAGGACAAGCAGAGCATGATGGACTTGATAGCGAGGGCAGGTCACAGGTATGTGTTGTGATAAAAAGAAAGGCAATAGAGAGAGTGGAGAGAAAAGTGTTCTGGTCTGTGTGGGAAGGCTGGAAATCATCTGTGCATTTTGGTGTGTTTGAGCGTCACTTGTGTTTGTCAAGAACTCAGAAAAGGATGGGACAACTGAGACAGGAGATGCATATATGGAGGATGGTTTTCCCTTCTGTACATGACTGCAGGTAGCTGTTAACTGTCTCGAGGTTTCTGCCATTCGTTCTTCAGTTCTCTTTTTCCTGGAAATAATGAGGAAGGTGGTTTGGGAAACCTCAGACTTGGTCAAATTGGAGGCATCGTTCAGTACCTGACATGCTCTCACCTTAGTCTTCTCTTTTCTTCCCTCCTTCCCTTTCCAGATGTTTTTGTGGAAGTTTTCTTTCCTTGGATAAATATAATTCTGTATTAAGTATTCCTTGACCTGTTTAATGCCTTCTTTTGCAGTTCTGTAGAATGGGACAATGAAAGTAACTCTTGTCCTCTAAAGTAATTCACTACACAAAACAATGACCAGGCATTATTTAACCCAGGTAGGGTTAAACAACACAGTGTCTGCTTCCACTTGTAACATTCCCTGTATGATTTGAACCAGTGAACCCAAATGGCGTCTAAGCTGGGAAAATAGTTTGCTCTTCTGCTTTAATCCATCTGAAGAACAGAGAAGCTGTGTGACAGCAGAAGAGCTGATTTTGCTGTTGAACCTGTGTAGGGAGCCTGACCTAATTCTGCATTGAAGAGTCTGCTCCCCAGGCACCAGGGTACGAGGGAAGAGCAAGGCAGGAAAATAAACGAGGCCTCCGTGTGGACGCCATGGCCGTGATTTAATGTAGCACAGGAGGGCTGGGCTCTCAGAGCTGCTGTCCTTTCCAAAACAGTTGTATGATCTCTGAAGAGGAACCTATGCCAAAGAAGTCCTTAAGTGCCAGGTTCATCTGTTGAGTCTAGCTTCAAAATGCTTTTACCAAGTTGTTTTATTTTTTTCAGCACCCTTCGTTACCATGTCTCAACTGCTAGATTAAGCCCTTATGACAGACTGAGATGTTTCAACTCCATCCGTGTTGCAAATTGGAATTGCTGACTCCATTTCAGATTGGGTGTATGCAGAGAGAACATTTTGTCCTGAGTGTACTTGTTTGTGCATGTATATATTGTGTACTCTCTATGTGTATATAAATATATATAGTCTTTTTTTTATAAAAATAACCTTTAGGGCAGAATATGTTTACAAAACATGTTCTTTTCTGGTTTCTGTTGCTCATTTAAAGCATTTTTTTAGAAAGTCCAGACATTGTTCTTGTATCATCTTCTGACCAGGAAATTCTATCGTCTTGGACTGCTGCCATCCCCAGCATTGCATAAGGCTTAATTCCTATAATTCTCCTAAACAAAAACATAAGAAATAGGAAGTCCATGTGTGAATGTCTGAGGCTGTTAGGGAGTTGCAGTTTTCTTTGGGAGCAGCACTAACTAATGTAGCAGTGAGACTTTCATCGGCCTATTGCAAATGGATAGAGCTTGCTCCAGATATTTCACTTACACTTTCATGCAAAGCCATTGGCAATGGGTACAAAGCAAGGTTACTGGTTTGCATAAAGAAGCCTTGACAGAAGTAAAATTTTAAATAACATCTCTAAATTTGAAATGCAAAGATTTTCAGTGCTAATTTAGGTCATTTTTCAAGAAAACAGAATTGCATGAGAATTGCCACATTTTTGTTTTCATTACTATGCTAACAAAAAACCCCTAGATGTACCTACCTTGTCGTCCATGCTTAAATGTAATGCAACATTTATCAAGCTCCTCTAAAAATACAACAAGCTGTCTCAAGGATGCTGAGCTAAATATATAGTTGAGATCATCTTTGCTCTGTTCAACATCTACTGGATGTACAAACCCTCTGTTTCACTGATTGTTCTAAAGTAAGTGGTGTCTTGAAGGTCTCATTCTTTTCACTGTAGGCTGTCACCCGACCATCTGTTTAAACCTCACTTAGTCAATTTAGGGCAAAGCATGTGTGGTACCTTATAAAAGGAATGGAGCCAGAAACAGTGGAAAAGGTTAAACTAATTTCCCCCTTCTCGCTTCTCTGCTGTGCTCCCAGCTTGGCAAAAGTCATGCTGAGTGAGGAAGACAACAGGTTGTGACCTGTCACTGTGTGTGTAACACACTTACCATATGAAAGGGCACTAAGGGATATTAGTCTGAACTTCTCGAGCCTGTATTTTCGTTTAATGAAAATTGTGTACCAAGTTCCTTATGCTGAGACTCAGATTTATTCACAGAACAAGTTTTAGCTCTTTTTGTTTAGAGTGAGTAGATTGTTTTTTTAATGCTTTAATGCACTGATCTGATGGTCTCTTCTACATAAACTTGTATCAGCTTTTTTTTTTTTTTTTTTTTCAAGATTTCTATGAGCTTTTCTTCTTACACCCAGAACTTGTGTTGTGGGATGGGCAAAGAATCCCCAAAACTACTCTGTAGTAGCTCCTCATTCTGTGAGGAGCAATTGCTGTGACAGATGCCAGGGCATGGACTTAGAAACATAATATCTCGTCAGGCTGTTTTTAGTGCTGCACTGTAACATCATGAGATTTGACAATAACAACAAGTAATGTTTCAACGTCCTGCATGTACATCATCTGTCTACTTAGACAAATCAGAGGAAAGCTTGTAAAATCCTTTACAGTTTTAAGTTCAAACATTCCATTGTTCTTTGCATCCCGTCATGAGAGCCCTGATTAATACATAGTTCAGTTTTTTACTCAACAGATGATGTTTGCAATCAGATCTTGTCCTTTTTTGGATTTTAATTTTACTGATGATTTTTTTACTCAGCTGGGTGTGATCCTTGGCAAGGCTTCCATGTGCTCCCTAAACAAAAGAGACTAGTAAATTATTTCCAGTTCCTCTGGTTAGAGTTCTCTTCTCTGATGTGGTAGTTTGTGTTCAAATTAATATTTTTTTTTAATGATCTTATGGCACTGTCTAAAGACATAAATGTATATTGAGAGCTCACTGTAATATGTATGGAGATACTCTCTGTACAAAATGTTAGAGAGTGCAGGAGTGTAAAATAAAGCAATTTTTCATTTTAGGGACAGGAAACTAAGAAGAGAGTGACATGCTCTGCAGGCATAACAACTTTGTCTTTTCCCCACTTAGCTCTTTATAATCGTGTCCTAATATACTATTTATAATTTACTGATGACCTGTGAATGCCATCTCTGTCACAGCCTTTTAAAACTTACAAGTGATGAAGTATTCCCAATAATATTTAATTAGCATAGCAAGCAAACAGTTGTGAGCATCCCCAAAATGCATTAGGGCTGATATTGTGGGAGGTCCAGCTGTGGGCTAAGAGGTTATTCATTTGAGATTACCAGTGCATAGCTGATCTGTCTATTTCAACTTATCAGAACCTAATTAAATGCAAACATATGAGCAGATAATGAATGTAGCTGTTGGCTAGAAAATCCTCCAATACTAGATCAGAAGTTTCCTTTAGGGGCAGTTAAAATACAGGAACTGTATCTTAGGCTGTATGTTAATCATCAGTATTACAAATTAATCTGATATCAGCCTGGAGGAGGATTTTTAAATTGCATTTTCCTCATGAACATACCAGAGTTCATGCAGGGTCTTCAAGCCCTGTTCTGCTTCCCCCAGTGTGCTACCCCCAGTTTGCAAATGAATGAGGCTGTTCTAGCCTGCATACATGTTTTTTAATTGCTCTTAAAAGTCACAACCTGATTAGAGAATATCGACAGTCCATTGGGGAAAAGTTTGGAGCAGCACAGCAGCAACAAAATGTCAGCAAGGACAGCTCTGCTCAAAGCAGGTGCTGAGCAGCACCCTCTCTGACTTGCTTAATTTTATTTTCTGTGATGGGGTCTGTCTTTTGGGGCACGTTTAGTGCCTGTTCCAGCCCATGGGAAGGCAGCGAGGGGCAGTGGGGCTGTGTATTACGCCCGAGTTTGGTGTTGGATGAGGAAGACCATCTTGGCTCTCAGACTGCAGAGGTCACCCTGCTTTATTTGGTTAACACGACTCTTGGGAGAATGTGTCAGGTGTGTAAATAGATTTGGGTGAAGTGGCAGAAAAAGTATGTTCCTCCATTGGATCAGACTATGGCAAGTGGTAGCCAGGGGTGTCTCCCCAGTCCTGGCTGGGCAGACTGTTGTGCTGGGGCTGAAAGGGGCTGCCTGGCTGTGAAACACCTGCAAGAGTGAGATATCATAGTGGATGTAAATGTGTCAAATATTTGTGAATATCATGTCTTTTGATTGAGGCATTCCTCTGATACAGAAGCAGAGTTAGGTGATAAAACACTCTATGTATGTGCTGGTGCTGGAGTTCCAGTTAACCCAGCATTAGGCTTTGAAACAGTTGCCACCCCATTGGCAGGAGTTGCTGGCTCCTGGGTTTGCAGCCCTGGGCTCCTCAATGGCCAGCTCCTGCCCTTTTTGTCCTGCTCCCAGCCCCAAACTCCTCTGGCTTCAGGAGCAATGTTTTTGAGAATTATGGCTACTTCTCATTGTTCCACAGCCATTAATAAGGGCTGTATTTTTGGTTCCAAGCCATGTGGCTTGGCTGTATTAAAACAGATGTTGTCCAGCTACAGCTTTTTAAGGGATCTGGATTGCTCAGCATCAACAACCTGTCTTTGTCTTTATTTACTGCTCTTCTAAGTATAGCTGTTTTCAAATTTAATTGGGGATGATGATGTGGATAAAAGTGTTGAACACTCTGGAACCAAGATCTGATCCCAGCAGTACCCTTCTGGAAACATACTGACTCAGTGGTTCCTATTTAAAATTAGATTTTGACACCTGTCAGCCAATTTTTTATTTAATGTGTGCTATGTTCACTTCATATCATTCTGGTTTCTCAATCAAAATATCAGCCGCCTTCCAGAATTCTGTTCCATGGACACTGTTATCCCTGCTAACTACATCTGTTGTCTCAAAGACAGAAGGTTGTTTGACAGACTCTGTTTTCCACAAAACCTTGTTGATTGCTGTTACTTATTTCCTTTCTTTCTTAATCATGTCCTGTCTCTGCTATTCCATTATTTTGCTGGGATAGATGCCAGGATGACAGGCTTATAATTATCTGGGCCACCCCATTTATCCTTTCTAAATATCCTTTTCTGGAACTTTCCCATTGTTCCACACTTTTTTTGAAAATGAACATGCAACAGTCTAGAAAGTCTTCAGCCTTTCTTAAGCATTTTTAACCAAGTATTTGGATATGTTGTCTTTAAAAATGAGAGGCCAGGGATTTATCATCCTCCTGCATAGAAACTGTGGTGAACAGTGTCCTGGCATTATCTTGTGGCTGTGACTCAGTGCTCTGCTGCTTTCCCAGAACCCTCACAAGGTCATGATCATGATGTGCTTTGTCCTGCACTTTCTGTTATTATGGGCAGCTCTGTCATTGTAGTGCCATAGTTACAATTCCTTTTCCTCCTAATAACACTCTTTGGTCTGATATACAAATAAAATAAAATAAAAAAGTTAATGAAAACGTGCTTTCTTGACCAAGTCTGTTGGTTTGTTTTTCAAAGCTCATGGGAGTAACAGATGAGCTGCAAATTTATGGATGTAGCATTAGGAAGTGAACCCATTTTGAAATGGGTTTGTGTCTTCTTTGCAGAGAGCTGTCCACAGCCACTTGTTCTCCATCTTGCTGTTTTGTCTGGCTACCAGGTTTTTGGACAAATGGTTTACTTTGCCTTGGAGGCTTTGACTTTTCCATGGTCTGTTTAATTCTAAATTCAAATCCCAGATTTGAGAAAAAAAAATTTACCTTCTGCACTGAATTATGTTATCTTGGACCTTCCAAATACAGTTGCTTATTCCTCTTCTTCCACACACAATGGTTTAAAAATCTGCTAGAGTAATGGGCACAAGTTAGATATATTAGATATAAGAGTGCAGGAATATTGCGAGTGTGTTGTGACAGCTGGAAATCATGTTCTTTCTCTTTTAGGGTGGTTGGTGGCTTTGAGACTCTGACTGCTATGGAGAATGTGGAAAGTGACCCAAAAACAGACCGTCCCAAGGTATGTGAGAAGCACCAGGGGCTGTGCAAGAGGGAGTGAAGGCATGTGGCCTCGTGTGGTAGTGCAGTTCACCCTTCTGTTGCTTCTCTGAAAACTGAACTTGGGCAAGATGGCACAACTTAATCAGCAGATTGATTTGCTCCTCTTCTGTTCCCAGGAGGAAATACGAATTCAGACAACAACCGTTTTTGTTGATCCATATGAAGAGGCAGATGCCCAGGTGAGGATAAATTGATTGGTTGGTTTTCTTGAAAGGCCAAAGCTCTTCTTTGGAGAACTTTGTAACTTAATGCCTTTTATTGGAACTTGGGCAGCTCCTTGGGCCATCTGGTTGCAAACTAAGATGAAAAAGCTGCCATTCAGTGTTGCCTTGTGTGCAAGGGCCGTTGCTGCTTTTTCAGCACAAAGGTCTTGCAACTGAGTCTGGCACAGCTCCCAGTCCATCACAATTCCAGTTGTTTCCTTTCCAAATGCCCACAGTAGCTATGGGTAGCTGCAGGTGAGAAGAGAGGCATTTTAATGGCTACAGACAGCCTGTTTGTAGTGGCCCTGGAAGTCTGTCTGCCAAAGCCTGCCCTGTAATCATAGCAGTGCTGGCTGCTGTTTTAGAGGGCTTTGAAGCTTCAAATAAGTGTAGACATTTTATCCTTACTCTGGACTAGCTCTTGTAACAGATTGCTTTCTTTGTTTCCCACAGGTTGCTGCAGAAAGAGAGAAGGCCCAGCTAGAAGAAGATGCAGCCAAAACAAAAGCTGAGGTGGCCCCACCAAAGAAAGAGGTCCAGGCTCCTAAAACTTACCGGCAGGGGATTGGAAAATATATTAACATGGCTGCAGCGTGAGTTCCCTGCCCATCTGATCTTTGTTGAGAGTTTTAGCTGCCTTTTAGAATGCTTACCCTGACAAGTGTCATTGCTCAGGTGTTTGATTTGTGCCAGCAGGCTTTGCAAAGACACTTAACAGTCAAGAGTTCCCTCTACTTCTGTTGGTTTTCAAGATTACAAGTTAACTGAGCTTTTCTTTTAGCACTTGAACATGACCAAGTTGGTCTTTAACAGCATGTGCTGACTTCAGAACTGTAAATACATTTCCACAACTCAGAGGTCCTTGAGGAACTGTACTGTGTCACTTCCTACACAGTCTTTTATTCTCTTCCTCTTCTGCAGCTATTTCTGAAGGCCACAGTCCCACAGATGTTTATTTTTCATGAGCTTCTCCCCTACACAAAGTGGTTGCCCTAAGCCCATATCAGTCTGCTGATCTAGTTCCCTGTTCAGCCACAAAAACAGTTCTACCAGCACAACTGAAATGGCCAGAAAGTGGAGCAGGTTCCCAGGCTTGCCATGGGAGCACAAGGTGTCTGGCAAGTAGCTCCAGGGTGCCCAGCTGGTTGTACAGGCTTGTCCTTAAGCATCCTCTCCCAGACACCTTTTGTACACCCATTGGGATTGGCAGTGTCACTTGCTTTTCTAAGGACAGCACAGAATCCCACCCAAGTGGCAGCTTTGCATGACTTTTGGATAAATTAAAATAAATGCCTTCCACTTGATTTTTCACAGGCTCCTCTAAAAGCATATGCAAAAATGCTGTTGTCTGCTGCATAGAGGTGTGTGTTTATGCATACACAGATCTGGACAGCTATTTAATCAGCTTGTATGTGCCTGCATGACTTACAGACATTTGCATAACAGACAACAAGAGTATGTTAGCCCATGTAGGTCAGTTTGATGTTTCAGTTACAAAACGTTGGTTGTCCCTTAAAATACCGTGTTCAGCTTAAAATTGCTGACATTCTGCACTGTATTTGCAGAGGAAACCCTGGCAGAGTTTGCAGCGCTGGGGAAATAGCTGAGTAGTATAGAAAGGACTTCCCTTTCCTAGTCCTTCACTCCTTACAGCCTGCCTTAAAACTGAGATCTTGGTCTATAGCAGCCCTTTGGCAGATTCAGGGTTCTCAGTTCTCCCTATCAGCTACTGATACCTGACAATAAAACCACAGTACATGAGCTGGCTGCATGGTGTTCCCATGGACTTGCAAAATCTGCTCCAGAGATGCTGAGAGTAGCAGCAGGGCTGCAACAAGCCATGCTCAAGAAACAGGAAAAGATCTTAAAAACTTGTCCAGCTGCTTTACACCTAATTCCCCACAAAACCTTTTGCTGCCACAAATGTAGGTGAGAAGGCAGAAAGGGAACTGTGGCTCACATTTTTATCCTGACTGGGCTAAGAAAGTACAATTGCTAAATCTTCAGCTCTACCCTAGAGAACTTGTTGGGTTTTGAATATTTTCCTGGAAGTGTTCAGAGCCATCCCCACAGACTGACACACTCTCCCTCTTTTTGGGTATGCCAAAGGCTCCCATCCCCACACCCCTGCAGTCTCCATGCTGGCATAAAGCTCTACTCCTCTCTAATTGGTAAGGAATGGGCTGGCTTTGGTATTCTTCCAGTCTTGCTGGGAGAGAAAGGGCATCCAGTTGCCCTGGTTCTACCAAACAGTAAATAGCCCCTGAGAGTTGTTTTCCCTTTGGCTTCAGGAAGCGCAGCGTGGAAGATGATGGGCCGTCAACCAGCACAGCTGCAAAGAAAGAGAAAAAGAGCACAGGCTTCGGGGACTTCAGCTCCTGGTAGCAGCACTGGGAGCCTAGCACTGGAGCAGCACAGCAAAAAAGAAACACAAGGCAGCCTCCCACGTGTCCTCCAAGAGCCCAAAGGCAGCCTGTCCTGGGGAGGGAAGGCACCAGCCTGCCCTTCCACTGGGGAAGAAGACTGCTGCTTTGTTACGGCTGGTTAATGTGGCTTTGTTTTCTAGAGAGCTGCATTCCCCCCACTGCGTCTTCCTCGAAGGCCTTTTTGTTGTTGTTTTGCTAAGTGGGGAGCAGGCAGCCCAGCTCCGCGGGGGATTAGCTGGAGCCTTTCTCTCCCTGCCTGGCAGCAGACCAGGCAGAGCCCAGCCTTGCAGGACACTGCTTCAGTGAACAGCTGCGTTGGTGAAAGAGCTCCTTTTACAGGTAATAATTTCCAGACCAACCAAGTCTGCTGAATGAAGGGATGAATTGACGTAGTGAGGAAGTGCCTGTGCTGCTGTAGCGCTTTGCAGAGGGGAGGAGAGGGCTCCAGCCTGTCCTGCCCTTCCCTTCCAGCTGCCTTTTACTAGTTCTCATCAAGGACCAATTCACCAACTCTGTCTCTTGCTGTTTGTGGGCCTGCCTCCTGGCTGGACTGACTGCTGCCAGTCTCCATAGGGCCTCACTCAGTCCCACTTGAGCTCTCTGTGTACCTACTTCCATCTCTAACAGCCTGGGAAGCAGCAAATCCAGATGGGGAGTCTGGGGTAGCTGCATCACTTGTTTCTCCCAGTCACTGGCCATCCCTGAGCCACTGGCAGCCAGAAGGACCAGGATGCATCAGTCAGTTCAAACCTGTCCTTGGGTCCCAGGAACTACAGCCTGGAGCAACTGAGCAGGTATAGAAAGAATTTTTATTTTTAACAAGTCCCTAAAGCCTGCTCCTTGCAGGGGAACACACACCATAGTCTTCCCATCATTGGGGAAAACCATATAATGTAGCTGACAGGCCTCTCAGATATTTCTACATACCCACAAATTACTAGGAGGCTTAATAAAGGTCTTATGGGATAAATTTATATCAGCTTGTGAAGTTTTAATGTAAAACCATACATGTCTTACTATCACTTAGATGTAGCAGTCTCAATCCTGAACATTACTTTTCAGTTGATCTTAGGTGTTTTAAGATGACAGAAGTACCCTCCCTAACTCTCTGTGTGGCTCAGGAGATAGTTTTGTAATCAGCTTTGTAACAATACCTTTATATTGGTGGTTTTGTTTTAAGAGAAGGCTTCATTTATATGAAGTTACTGTAAAAATGTTTGGTAAAATGTTTTACATTAAATGCTTTTATTTTCTTTTGGGTCCTTTGACTTTTTAACTGTCACTTCTAAGATCATGGCATTGCAAAGTTGATTGTTGTATGAGGAAATGATTCATTCCTACTTTTTAAGGTGCTCATGTGGAACTCTGGGATCTTTGCGGATATGATTACATCTTCCTTAAATTATAGGAAGTTCAAACTAGTCTGAAAGAATAATAGGGAGTTTTTGTTTTGCAACATTTTGCAGCATATAAGTTTGAAATAACACGTTTGATTCCTGGAACAGGGGATGTGATGGTTCTTTCCTCCAGTTGAGTTTCTTCTGTCTTACTGAAACCTCTTGCTTCTCCTGGACTGGCCTTTTCCAGATAAATTGTTATTGGTCCCTTCCATCTAACTAGTGCTTCAGCACATTTTTGAGTTGTCAGGTTCATTGTATTGCTGGACCTGGAATAGGCAGTTTAATTAAGGAGTAAAATAGGGTTTTTGTACAAAATTAAAATGGATATTATTATGAAAGAAAGGAGCTTTTAATTACAAGGAATGCAACAGAGGTGTGGCAAAGACTTCTATTTCAGCAAGAGTCCTTGTTACAGATTGATATAAGGGACAGTTTCCTTTTGCAGCAGCAGGCTGCAGAGATAACTACCTACCTTCCCTTTCTACTCCAGCTTTTTGGCAGTGCTCACTGCAGTCCGAGAAGGACCACTGCCATGTAAAGTGCAGGCAGTACTGCTGCCCTTCCAAACATTGCCTGTTTCATTGCAATTTCCCATCATAACATTGGACATGAAAAAGCCATTTCCTGGCTTCTAGGAAGGGCTTTTTAGTTTTGCTCTAAGCCAGGGTGAAGCTCTTCAGCCTCTGGTCACCACTTGACCCAAATCCAGTTCCCAGGCTGGGCTGCTGGTGCTCCCTGGTGTTGTCAGTACCTCCCAGGCTGGGAGATGCTGGCTCAGGCCTGTCCTCGGGGTGCTGCTGTGGGGTGTGGAGGTGGAGTCACTTGGCCGAGGCCATGTGCTGAGTCAGTGGCTGGGCCCAGGTTTGTACAGGGCTTCTGTGGAGCAGCTGATACACCAGTACTCAAGCAGCCTGACCCTGCAGCAGATTTTTATTCTCAATTCCCACCTCTCTTCTCCCTCCCACAAAGTGTATTTTTGCATATGTGGTCAACTTTTGTACCAAACTTCAGCTTTATTTATGATCGACAAAACCTCAGGGACAGTGTGACACAAACTGTTCTCTAAAAGATGAGTGAGCTGTGCTGATGGATGCACTAGTTGGGTGCTCAGTGAGCAGGGCAGTGTGGTGTCACCCTTGTTTTTAGAAGGCTCTTTGCTGGTTTTGCTGAAACCTTTTCTTTCCCTTTAATCTCTTAGTTCTCCAGCAAGGACGGTGTGTTAAAGGAATACCCAAAGCAGCTCTTGCCATAGCCAGAGGGATAGGCAGGAATTGTGCAGCCTTACAGCAGAAACATACTCCTGGGAACTGCTCTGCTATTGTAAGCACATTTTTACATTCTTTGTCTTTGACACTTTTCCAGTAAGTGTTCTTGGAGAGAAAAAGTAGAATTTTAACCGGTGGCTGAAGTAGCTTTTGTCTGGCTGCTGTGTCCAGTGTGGCTGCCTGGGAGATCTGCTCTGAGTTGGTGCAGTTTGTGCGGCTGGCATTGAGGCTTTAAGAGCGGCAAGGTAAAGTCTGTCTTTAGAGATACAGAAATAGTGCAGCTGCATGTTTTATGGTTGCGTGTAGATGGGCTTGCAGAGGTAACAGGGTTTTGGTTCAAAAGCACCATGTTGATTTGATGCTGCCTATGCTAGCATGTCAAGGGCTGGTCTTGGTGGCAGATGTCCAAGCCACAGCTGGAGGTTAAGCAAAAGCAGTGAAGGGCTCAAGTGCTAAATGCGGGTGAGCCCTTGGAAGGCAGAGGGAGGCAATGGGTGCCAGAGGTTCAATGCCACTGGTTCCACACCGTGGCACACGCAACCAGACAGGCACAGCTTCGGTGGGTGCACAGGGCTCTTGCAGCCCCCACCAGGCACAGCCCATCATGGGCTGCATTGGTTCCTTTAGCTGGTGACAGAGCCACAGGCATGGCCATGGACTCTGCAGCTGGTGGATAAACCCAGTGCTCAGGTGCTGGCTTATAAGTATAATGAATTTCTGGGATCCCCCTGCCACCCCTTGCCAAGCAGTGTTTGGAAGGAACAGGATGTTGGAAGCCTCGTGCCAGGAAGCAGCTTTTATAAGCAAGGGAGGAGATTTGCCAAACACCCCCCCAGGTTTCAATACTGTTTGCTTTGGAGAAGTCAAACAAAATCAGACTGCACAGGAAGGAGGCGGGCAGCTGCCTGCCCCAACCGGCAACAGGTTACACCACGTGGCGTGGCAGGGGATTTCTTGCTTCCTCTCTTTCTTCAGAAAGCAAATTTGTTATCATGGCCATGGAAAAGGATTTAACCACATTGTGCCATGACTGCAACAAAGAGTGTGTGTAAAGATTTTTAAACAAAAAGTGTGTTGTGATCAGGGCACCCCATGGCCCTGGGAGGGATGTTCCTGCTG